CGCACACACACATGCATGCACACACCCAGAGCTGTGGATGTTCTTTTAATAGTGTTAGGAAATTCTGCAGATGTCATTACAAAAATGTTCATACTGGCTCTCGTTCTTGGCAGCCTAACCCTTTCGTGCTGTTGTACTGGAAAAAAAAATGCTTTCATATCACTTACCCCCCGCCCTTGCAACTTGCTGACCAAGGGAAAGGAGGTACTAGCAAACGAAAGTGGGACTGCCCTGAGACACTTGAGCTGTGCTTTTACAGGTGCCATTTCAGCCCTGGGGCCTTTTTGTCAATGACCTGAGTCCAGACCCCTTTTGTTCAGGATCTTCAGCTGTGTGTTGCGCACAGTAGCTTTTCCCAAGAAATGTGCTACAAAATTGGACTGTAACTGATTCAATAGTAAGTTCTTAGTTGCCAGTGAAACACTTTTTCTCTTTTCAAAATGGAGTTTATTTGTTTGTTTGTTTGTTTGTTTTTAAGTCTGACGTTCTATGGAATTTAAGGAAGAAGACAAAGCAACAGGAGAACTTTTCACAATGGTCTAGCACACTGACAAGCACGAGTGCAGTTACGGACACCGTACAAAGTTAGTGAGAGGGAGTCAGTAACCATCACTGCCAACGCAAGATAAGAGCAGACACAACACTGTACCTGAAGAAAGAGTTAATGCATTTTTAGCATCACTGGAGCTAGCCCTGAGGATATCGTGCTGCACCCTGCTCCATCCCAGTCCATGCCTCTGCCATAACTCACTAGCTCTTTTACTTTTGTCTGGGTTGTACCCATATGGTCTGTAAACACACCTTCTCTTCCAAGTAATAAATGACACACGGCTTCTTTGGCAGCTCAAGACTTGAGTTTTCATCCTGACACCCTTGGGCATCTGGTCCATGACAGGTGATAGATTTAGACAAACAGTAAAAGCTGCAGAGGGCCTTGCACGTGTGTTTATCTTAACTTTGTAACACAGTCCAAATGTCTGTCATTTAACTTTATGTATTGAAAGGAGACCAATTGGAAGTGGCATTCACATACAGTAGGACAGCTGATGCTGTTGCTCTAATTACTTGTTTGGTGTAAAGAGCTACTAGCAAGTTTATAATTTCCTGAGCATGGCTGGGTCTATTGAATTAAAGCGGGGTGTGAGGAAACAGGGAGAAGGAGGAAACCAAATGGTAGTTTAACAATAGGCAGTAAATGAATACCAGAGCTTACTTATTTGACACATTATTTTGGTCAGGTTTATTTTAATTTGGGGTTTTATTTATTTATTTTTGAATGCTACCATTTACTTTGCCAAAGAGCTTTTAGAAACAAGCTCTTTAGCATTTTGTCTAGACTGAAGGTGATGCTGTTGTTTTCCATGAAATGCTGACTTGTTAAATGTGCTGTATTGCAATGTGTTAGAGGTGCTGGAATTCTTTCTATGTATGTGTGTATGTATTAGAGAATATTATTTTCCCGTTAGGCAATGCACCTGGTACTTATTTCTTATTGACACAACGACAAAGATGATACTTTATATGTTTGCAGAAGACATTAATTTTTAAAAAAAATTTATGTCAATTGTTCACAAAATGACTTAGCACATAAAGGTCAGTTCAGGTGCAGATAGCTGTTAGTTATTTTTAATGCCCTGCCATTACTATTAAATTTTAAATTGGTGTTTATTATTTTTAAATACTGCACTGCAGAATTGCTAACATC